CAGCTGAAAGTTCGGTATTTCGAACACCGATTCGGATAAGAATCGCTTACCTTATTTCTTGTTATGGAATTGAATTTTAATTATCAATAATACGGTATTTTGCGTAATTTAGAAAATTTTAAAAATTAATTACAGGTTACTAATGGAGCCGGAAATCTATTAGTCATTTATTGTTTGTCATGTTTAACCGATTGTTTGATTTTACAGTTTTAAATGCATGATAATATACTGGAATTGGTAAAATGATACAGTTGTGTTTTCTTGATGTATGTATTGTTTGTTTTGTGTTGATTTATGGTTAAATTGTGAACTGAAAATTAAAGGTAAACGGAAAATTGATTAGTAAGTGAATGAATGAATGGTAGCCTTACTGAATATCCTGGGAGATGGTAGACAAACCGAATACATAAGGAACCCTATCGTGAATGTCACTTTATACCGGACGGGGTATCGAGGATTTGTATTTTTGGTGCTCATATCAAACGGGGTATGGGGACGACTCGTTTCACCTTTATACCGGACGGGGTATCGGGACGGCTGGTTAGTTGACAATGTTAAGTAATAGTTCATGCGTAGTGGGACATCCCTATTGGCCCCCAGGATATCAGTAGGCAAATAAAGTAAGAAAGTTACTGTTCTTACTCACTTGAATATGAGATTATGATGTTGTTGAGTTATTGTCTTTATAGGTCGGTTTTGGAAATCTCACAACAGTATGCAATAAATTGTTTTACTTATGATAAATGAATTTACTTAAATTAAGAGCTCAATTGGTTGTTTTTATAATTTTTACCAATATTTAGTTTCCGTATTGGGGAGTAGTGTGATATTCTTACTGGGGTAGTATAGCTCATCTCTTCATTAATTATTTCAGATCAAGAGGATCAAAATTCAGATCCCGATCAATAAGGGAGTTGTAAATAGTGAAGGTCGTCATAGGATGCTCAATTGTTAATATTTGTTTATTTATTTGATTTTCGTTTGTTCTTTTAGAAGGGACATTCCCGTAACCCTATTGGGTATTTTAAACTATTGTGTAAGGAATGTAAACTCTAATTCTACTATTTCATTTCTGTATTCAATTTATGATTTTATTTCCTTTTAAGTTCCGGACCTTTACATTTGGTATCAGAGCCGCTTTCCTCAGATCCATTCTTTACGCAAAGACTTAAAAACACCAAATACGAACTATCGCGCAACTTTTCCTTTTGAAAAATAAGTATAAAGACACGAGAAGATGAGATCCCTTACTGAACAGGGCAGCCCGAGACGGGTCGCGTTGAGAGGATGTCGATCGGTTTTTCGAGATTTTAGAAAGACTTATCTCTGTGTAGTATGTTAGGGAAGAGAGGAGGGAACTGTCTGACCCTCCATCACTTCCACACTATGAGCCACTCCTATAACGAGAGGATCTAATGCCACCTTGAT